ACCAACAGACTGGGTCTGTCCTGGACAGACTAGGACACAGGGTATTATACAGAACTGCAGTTGAAATTGAAAAATGAGCTAACTCACTATATTACAACTGAACTAAGATTTTTGGAGGAAGGCAAGAGTAAAACATCATTTTAGAAAAAAATTTTTTGCCCTGGCTGGCGTAGCTCAGTGGATTGAGCGCGGGCTGGGAATCAAAGTGTCCCAGGTTCGATTCCCAGCCAGGGTACATTCCTGGGTTGCAGGCCATAAACCCCAGCAACCGCACATTGATGTTTCTCTCTCTCCCTCTCTCTATCACCCTCCCTTCCCTCTCTAAAAATAAATAAATAAAATATTTAAAAAAAATTTTTAAAGCAAGAGTATTTAACCTGAGTAAAAGATGGGCGGACTTCTTGAGGTCCGTGAAACCCTTGTAACTATTTGCAAAATTCTGTCTGTGCATGCTTTTCTGGGAGGGGGGGTTACTGCTCCTATCACATTTTTAATGATGTGTGTAATCTGGAAAACTTAATAACCATTTCTAAGGTATTGTTCCTACTTTATCGTTTCATCAAGACATTTTTTAGAGTTTTTTGGATTCTCCAAGATCAGGTGCTAACAAAATCTAAAAAGGTACTGAAATTTCAACACTTTGTATCAATTTTATGCCAAGTATGGTTAACTCCAGACATTTCAAAATTATTTGCTTCCCTGTCCATCCACTTTACTAATTCAGTGAATAGGGATATATTTTACGAGTCAGTGTTTCAAAACCATTCCATTTCACTGCCTACAACAAAAATTGTACTTTCCTTTAAAGGTTTCCTCTTACCAATTTACTCTTTACTGAATGACATGAAAATGATGTGAGGTACTAAGATTCTATGTGGCATTAACAAAAAACAAAAATGCTACTAGTGCATGTTTTATATATCTGCAAATAAAAATGCTAAGAAATACCTGCTGACTGGTATCTGAGACTCCTCTGCTTACAGCAAGAGGTCTCCCTATAACCCTGCGCTTCCCAGCTGGACTAAAGGCTGACCTTTCCAGCTGGACTAAAGGCTGACCTTCCCAGGGGTTTCACTGTCCTTTGTTCCAGGGTATGGTCTCCTGTGTGAAGGGTTTGCACATGATATAACCTTGGAAGGGAGTGGATAGGCAGAAGGAAATCTATCAGATGACTGGTTTCAAATTCAAATTCTTTATTGATGGCCTGAAACTGTGGTCAGCTTCCCACAGTAAGCAGCACACAAGGTTGACTTTCTTTCCTAACTTCAATGCTGCCAGAATACACATGTATTTTTACTTTCTTAGGAGAAAATGTGTCATTTGACTTCCTTCCAGTTTATGTACTCATGCCAACAACTAAGATGCTTAAAGAACCAAAATGAATTACTACCCAGAAATGGTGGTCAAAGTTCCAAGAGTCGATCAATAAAATTGCTCATCTACTCACAAATTAATCTTCAGCTAGTAAAGTTCCACATTTTTGAGGTTATGAGCACACCTGCACTGTTAAGCATTTATTTCACTTGTTTAAGCAATCTTCAGAAGTATATAAATATTTATAAAAGTAAGCCTACTATTTTTACTTACATATAATTTTATTTTTGCAGCAAAACCTCGTTAATGTTTTACAACTCATAAGCATTCTGAAGGCAGGCTCTGTCCTTCCTCCATGGTTTCATATCTGTGAGCATCAGTAAGATGCCCCGCACGTTGTGGCTGTTCCAGAACTGTTCACCACGATGCATCTAATTAACTCAGATCATTCTAATTCTGAATTTATGATGAGGCCAATTTTCAATTTTCACTTGTATCATTCATAAAAAATTGGCAAAGCAAATTAAAGACTAAATAGGGGCTATTTAAGCTACTAAGTAGAATATTTTTAAAGAACTTCAGTAGCAATATCTACACTCAGTCAATCCTTTATACAAACCACAATGTCACCCAAAAATGTGGCCAGCTCAGATTTTGTTCAATATTCGTATCTGCAAAGAACATTATTCCTTTCTTTTTACTCCGATCTCCTTGAAATTAGTTCAAATTGGTGATGTTTGACTACATTCAGTAATCTCTGTCGAGCAATCACAGACAGCCTCTCTTAACTTTCCATTTTCTTTTGTTTGTGTCCCCAGCCTGTGAAGCTGGAGAGCACTGCCAAACATACCACAGGGAAGTGTGAGATTTGCTTAAAATATGAGTCCCAGTGTATTTGGGGATTTGAGCTGCTTTCTTTTTCCTCCAGCTATCAGCAGATCAAATCCTTCTTCCATGTGAAGCCTTCCATGTGGAAGGTCTGAAATTTGCTAAAATAGATCTCTCAGTAGTTATGAAGGCTAAGAAGATCAGAAATGAACACTGTTGAGATTTACTGTAGGATTTCCTGTTCATTCCAGAGCCATTCTGACTGAGATACATCAGTGAGGACAAGGCATGGCAGATATATTTACCTGTACAGGTTATACCTTCTGTGAATCACTGAACCTATATACATATTTTTATAACAATGTAACACGTGTGATCTAGGTTAGTAATTTCTGCTCTGTCTGTGGAAGGCCAGCCAACCTAATGAAGCTTAGAGAACCTGCATGACCACAACAGACTATTTTTGCTAACAAAACCTTGTTAGCACACATACATCAGACAACCAACTCTTTTTTCCCAATCAGTTCCTAAAGTTGGTCTAAATGTTCTTCTTGTCAAGTCTCCCACTGAAGGGGTAGGGAGAGACGCCAAACATCTTCTTTAACAAAACCAGCATTTAAGATGGCCCCCTTGTCCCACACTTTTTATAGAGACTGAAGTGCTCAGCAAAATGTGTTAGGTTGGTTTTGACACTGTCCTTGCCAAGAAAAATGAAGCTATATCATACTGTTATGGTAGCTAAAAGTATTATAACAGCAAGAAGAAGAGAGCCCTCAAAAGGAAATCCCCTGAAACTTTACTTCATATATTTAGCCCTAAAGGAACTTCATTCATCTTGGAAAAGAAGTTACCTAAAAATGCCATCTTTTTTTTAAGCAGGTATGAGGAAAAATAAGTTTAGTATAAAAAATTACAAATGATATTCAATACTGAACAGAGTGCATGGACTGTCTATGTGTGTACTTTTTAGAAAATCTCTAACCACAACTCTACTATGTATAAGATTTCTACCTTCAAATAATATATTGTCATTTTTCCAATGCACTTCCAATTTATCAGAGCACCTCTGATAAATTCAAGAGGACTTGCAGTATCTTTAAGGCTGTGGGAGCTCCAACAGGGAGGCAAAAAGAATGGACAGTCATTGGAACCACTGAGTGACAGGCTGGGTTAGCTCCTTGTATACATTAATAAATTACAATTTTAATTGTATCTCTGTCTGCAGGAGATGCCCCATACTTTAATATGTACCAACAATGGACTGTGTTCTGGAATCTGCAATGTGGCCTCCGCTGCTGACCTCTGAAACACTATTCCCAGTCTGACTATGGTAACTGTTCAGTTTGATCCTTTCAACTTATTTGAATCCTGACAAATAAGCTCACAGCTGAAAGGTCAACACAGGCATATTTCATCCTCCAGAGCTGTTCTTAAGACATCTGCACAACAAAGCACTTCTTAGAGCACCTGACATGGGACCTCACTGGCACTGTACCTCATTAAAAGTGTCCCCAGCATTCACAAACATTAAGAGGCGCATGGGTTCATGACGGTTTACCAAAGAAATGTTTTTGGAAGTGTTAGTAAAGAATGCACATTCAACTGTTGCAGTAAAGTATTACTATAGTATGGAACTGTCCCTTGACAGTGACAGTTTTCCAAGTGGATGTAGAAGAACTAGGACTTGTCGCCCAAGGTCAATATGATCTTTGCCAGACAATGTGGAACAGGTATTAGTTTACTTTGATTGAGAAAAGTCAAAACAATCTAGAATTTGGGTTAACCTTATGATCAAATTAATTAGCACCAAGTTATGCCCATAAGCAGTTCTTTACAGATTCTGTCCCAAAATGTGCAGTGTGAGAAACTCATACTAGCCTCCCATGTTGGAGGACATCCATCCTTATCTATGAAAGCAGTTGGGCCACCTAGTACCTGCAGGTGCCCTGTCCTGGATGTGCATATGAATACCCTGAGTCAAGTTCCTTTGAAGTTTCTATTAAAATCTTCTACTCCAATAGAAAATCAAAATTAGATTTGTACAAACTCACTCCTTCTTCTACTCTCTTAATTCTTGGCCTCAATGTGCCTGAAAGGAGAAGTTACTAAAACTATCTATCTTGGTATCTTTACATAAAAATTGCTTGCCACTTTTTGTTAATACTTCAGTAATATACTGAAAACATTCACTGAACTAAAAAGTGTGTATTACATTCATGACCAGGTATATTAAAATTACTATCTTTTTCAGTCCCAGTAATAGTTCTTAACACTACTGACAATTTGGAATGAATAGTTTCATATTTTAGGGGACTGTTCTGTGCAATATAGGATGTTTAGCAGCATCCCTCGCCTCTACCTATTAGGTTATTAGTAACACCAAGCCCCCCATTGTGACAACCAAAAATGTCCCCTGGACAATGGACATCTCTCATTGTCCCCTGGGGCAAAATTTCCCCCATGGCACTAACGTAAAGTGTGTGTGTATCCCACCACAAGAGAATCTCTAACTCTATCAATAGAGAATGTGGTGACATATCAGAGCACTATGAACTTTTCCTCAGTGGTAAGCTGCACTATTAAGCAATCCACACCTATGACTACTCATCCTCCCATTACCTTCACTAATTAGTAGATCTTCTCACCCCCAACAACAACATGTTTGGGTTGAACAGACACTTTCTAAAAGGTCATACCCCACTGGTAAACAAAAAAGACATCTTCTGCAAGAGATTCTCTTACATGATTTGTAATTCTTACCACAATCCTCTTCTGAATTGCTTATTAGCTATCCCAAAGTGTATAATGTCATCTATTATACACTTTTAATATCTATTAATTTTTAAAAGAATTGTTACCTGAAGGGCTGGCTGTTTGTCATTCCTCTTGGGAGATTTTAATCCACTAACTTGCTGCTGCTGTTGCTGTTGAAGAAGGAGCTGTCTTGCCACTTGAAGGGCCTGCAAAGAAAAATGAAAGAAAAATGTTTCTGTTACTGCACAGGTTCAGAGCCGCTTCCACAGCAGGACTCCAGGAAGTGCACTTAAGAACAGGATCCTGACTTCCCCATTTCCAAGCAAATGAAATAGCAAGCAAAATTTTCCACCAGTCTAAGTTGGAACACTTTTCAGAATTTGTTTACATTTCTTGTATTTAGCCTGTTTCATATACAGTTCTTTAGGCAGAGCAATCCATCTGAGCACATGCTTTATTCCTACTAAAAATCAAACCCAAAACTTGGAGTATGAATGATTAGAATTCTGAGGATGGATGGCAGAGAGAATCAGGAAGCACCAGAGCAAAGACAGAAACTGAGATGACAATCAAGGGTTCTTTTCAGAGGCACCAGCACCCTCCTCCAATTCTTCTTGGGGAACTTGGGACTCAAGTAGAAAGGAACACTTTCACCTCATCTGAGTCCAAAAAAAAAAAAAAGAGAGAGAGAGAGAGAGACAGAGAGAGACAGAGAGGAAGAGCTAAGTGGTGAGCACACTATGGATAAGGTTACCTGAGAAGAAAGACCTAAACACGTGAGCATACCAGTGGTGAACTCAATGGACTACGTAAGAAAAAAAAGTTCTCAAATTTGACTTCTAAGTCAATTTAACGGGTACATTATGTACCTGTGAACAACACTGGTAATGCCTCCTAAAAATGACTCTTTCTAACTTATGCCACAGGATGGTTTTTATTTAAAGGCAGATGATATGAATTGAAGATTAAGGCAAAAGGAAAATGAGAATCCTCTAAAATGCAGAATGTACGACTGCCCAATCTTGTTTTTTAATTAAAGTATAATGACATACAATATTATATTAGCTTCAGGTGTACATGTAGTGGTTCTATATTTATACACCCTATGATGTGATTACCACAATATGTCTAGTCACCATCTGTCACTGTACAGTTATTATAATAGTATTGACTATATTCTCTGTACATTAAGATCAATCTTTTTTAAAAGTTCAAATAAGAAGAAAAATGTCATTAATAAACCGTCATGGGGATATTCACTATCAAAGAAGTTAATAGGAATAATAGTGAGGCACACCTTTCCAAGGAGAGCAGGAGGATCAGGAACAGAAAACAAGTTTTCAGATATTGTGCTAGAAAATCATGAGCAGTGATTATTTTTTTAAATTTTAGTCAATTCAGCTGAAAGCCATGAATGGGTACATGGAAGATGTGTCAAGAATGATCATTAAACAATGTGGTTAAATTTACAGACAAGTAAGATTTCTCGTTGATTACCCCAATAAAAATTCCTGAAAGGTAACTGATTATTTTTGCCTCAAAGAAGATGCACACATAGATGTCTGTGGTCAATGTATCAAAGAATCTGAAACTATAGTCTTAGAAAATGTGTCTAATGGACTTATACAAAAAAAAATGTTATTTGTTTTAAGAAAGCTTATAGTGACTTGGTAAAGTGGGAGAAAGGTATAGCATGGGGGTTCCTGCCCACTGAACTCAGGAGGGGGAAATAGTGTTTAAGAGGATACGTTCATGAGTGGATACACGAAATTGTTGAATCAGCAAAAATAGTACTCCTAAAAGGAAAGTTTCACTAAATTAAGGTCATAACTACGGTATTGTAACAAAGAATATTAAGGCACTTTGTAATGTTGAGTGGTGCCTTTGTGTCTGAGAGGCATAGAGGGAGGCAATAGAACCAAAGCACTGATGATAAGTGGGTGACAAAGAAAAAATTTTGGGGAAGATGGAAACCTCCTGTCCCACCTCCCTACCACACCCACCCTCCCGTCTTGGGGAGGCCTCTGCCTACTGAACTCACCATAATCAGCCCTTGAGAAGTAACAGACAGGCTATTTTGTCTGGAAAGGGAGAGACATGTTGATAAAGCCTGCCTGGAAGAGCCTTGGGGACAAAGCCTGTCTGTGAGGGGCTTCTGGAAGCCTGAGAATCCAGCCTGCTATCGCTGAGGAGAATTCACCATCACTGGACTCTGGCTTCCTTGTCTCCCTGGAGACGCTCAGTACATGCGTAGGTGTAAAAGTGGGCAGAGTGAAGATTTCATTTTTATCATATAAGAAAAATAGTCCCCTTACAAAATACTCACAGGAGCAGAAGCCTCTCTTCCTCCTATATATGTTCCCTTAGCTATTTCATATGAGGTTTTATGGTTTTTTAATGTAGCAAAGGGAACTGTTAAATATTTTAAGTGCTACTGTCAGAGTTCCCAGAGTAATAGACTGGTCAGCAAAGAAGAGTCTAGCTGCTAGTGGGAAAGACAGAGGGAGTGCAGATGATAAGGGAGTGCAGATGACAGTGAAAAGCTATGGTAGGGACTAGAGAAAGGTCACATCCACTTAATACTAAAATAGAGCAAAGTAACGACAACTCCACACAGTTATAAATATTTGTTAACATAACTTGCCATGTTTCACCAAATATTTGGAAAATCAGTACTCAATAAATAACCAAGTCTCAGAATCAATATAATCAACTCCTCATTTCAGCAAAAGGGATGATATTAAGTGTCTTTTTTTAAAAAGGTACACACACAAAGAAAAAAACCTATTCTTATATGAGCATGTTCTCATAAATGTACTTAAGCAAAACAAAGTACAGCATAGGTATCAAACTTAAGTTTTCAAAAAACGTTTTACTGAGCTGGTTCGATATAATGGTTATATATTCTAAAAAGAGTTACAGGAATCCTTGCAATTAGTTTTCTGGTTTGAAGGAAAAAAGCCACCAATGCGCATAGTATCTTTTCAGATTCAACATGGGGTACCTGAACTGACATAATCATACAATGAATCCCCAACTCACACAGAGCATTTCATACTGAGCCCCACCCACTAAACAAGATAGTAAGAGAAAGAAGCAAAAGGCAGAAAAGGTTTATGAACTTGTAGAAACACAAAAGGAATGTTAGTCAAACTGCTAAGGAGAGAAGATATAAGATGAAGATGTTCAAACTGGCTTCCAAATTTCTCCTCAAAACAAATGCAAACAGGTCAAATAACTTCAAATAGCTGGCATGCAGAGACAACACCAGTGCAAAAAAGTATTCATCTTATTATGAACTGTTATGAATTATTCTACAATTATTCCCTGGCCTTATTATCATGAGTGTGGGAACAAAGAGGGCACCATGTACCATACCCCTCAATCTACTTAGGTCTCAGCAAGAATTTTAAAACAATTTATTAGACCTTATAAAGTGCTGCAAAGTCAACCACTAAAGTGTATTGCTTTTTAGATTTCTGTGATATATAAATCAATGTAATATAAATTGTAAGTTATCATGAAATAGAAAAGAAATCTTTAGTAAACAAGGCTATATTTTCAAGCATTGTTATACGAATGTCTGGTACCTACTATTTGTAGAAAGTGAACATGCTTATTGTCATTTTCACTGTTGGTCAGTGAAAAATTTGGAATGACTGATGGGACCCCATTTGAAAACTGCACTGGAGACCTGTCCACAGGGTTTCCAGTGTTTCCATTACACTACGTTTCCATTACATGCTTACCTCACAGCCATTTTTACCTGCTACATGCATCAAACCAATTAATGTCTTTCATCTGAGACTCACTGACTGAACATCAGTGATTTGTTCTAATACAACTAATGAGTAAGGGTAAACTTTTCTTATTTTCATAAAAGGATCTCAACAACAACTGAAGAAAGGCCCCTTAAGATATTCTTTGGTGTGTCGAGGACAAATGGTATAGTGATGGATGGTGACTAGACTTTTGAAGGTGATCACTTAGTAGTGTATACAGATGCTGAATTATACTGTTATACACCTGAAACTTAGAAATATATAAAAAAGACGTCCTGCTTGAAGATAAAATTAGATCCTTTGCATTTAGACTAAGGAGGTATGTGGACATGTGTTTGTGTGTGTGTGAGAGCAAGGGAGTGAGAGAGAAGTAGAAACACAGAGAGAGAAAGGGTATGAATAAATGACAAATTTTTTCCTTTAGGAAGCAAGCATCAACTCTAACTCAAGTTCCAGACCAACTGCTAATATAAATAACTGAAAACGTCCCCTCCCATCTCTGGGACCATTTACTCTTGGGGGCAGTTCCTGGGCTGGGTTGAATCAACACTTCATTTATAACAGACGTGACAATAGCCAGGCACTGAATAACTTGATGCTGCATTTGAGTGCTAGGCTTGGGTTACAGTAAAGACACAGTTTAAGAATGTCACAGAGTGGAGGTGACTGATAAAACCAGGCACTTAGAGCTGCGTTGCACATGGTCACATTGATTTTCCTTCAATAAGCTGAAATAAATTGCTCTGTGAGCTAACTGAGGAAGGAGCAGAAGTCAGCCACCCTCTCTGCCTTGGCTGTCGTCTTTGTCCCATCTGCACAAAGGGTGGGATCACCTACCGCCAGCATGTTTTGGGCAATAGCCAACTTAGTACTCAGTTGACAGGGACTCAGGGAGATTGGTACTTGGTTGCTAGTTTGGCAGGCAATGTTTTTATGCTAACTGGGGATCTGGACATTTTTGACACACCTTCCATTCTACCGTTTCAAGATTATTCTTAACAGTGCCTTCACATTCCTAGTAAATAAGTACCATTACTTACAAATGATGTTTTAAATAAGTATGTTTTACAACTTTTGAGCTATTTACATTTCAAGTTCATGGAAGATACTCATCTTTTAGGGACTGGAATCCTGAGGTTCAGCATGTTAAGGCAGCCGATGTTCAAAAACATGTTTAGCATATCTTAAGAAATATCAATAAGTTTACGTAAAATATGGGTTGAAGAAGCATGCACACATACACAAGGCAAGCCAGTAGGAGGAGAAAACCTTCATACAATTTTTTACATAACAAATTTTGTGATGAGGTCTGAGATAAGCACTGATACATACAGGTCTTCAAAAAAAATACGACTAACTGCAATGTTTTAGGTCACAGGTCAATAAACTATAGTCCATGAACCAAATCCAAACTATAACCTGTT